CCTACCAAACAGGGGGGGTTTGCGCCACTGGGCACCCCGCTCCGGTCCTTGCTCGGGTCCTTGCGCTCCCGAGACTCCCGAGGCCCTGCGTGGGGAGCGGTGGCCGTGGTGGCAGCATCGGCGGGCAGGGGTGGCCCCGGGGTGCAGCACCTGAGCTCAGAGACCCGCTGCGGCCGCCGTGGCAGCTGGGTGCAGGCAGCCGGCAGGTCCTCGCCTTGGGGCGGCTGGCCGGCGGCCAGGGCCAGGGCACCCCACCGTGTCCCTCCCAGGAGGCGAGGCTCCCGAGGCACTGGGCAGCAGATGGCCAGCCGCCGTCCTCCCGCGGCCAAGCAGCGGCCAGAGCGCAGCACAGTCCCGCGGGCCTGCCTGGGCGCCTGAGGTGGGGGAACGCCCAGACACCGGGCCGTGGGGGGCGCGGGCTCCTCCTCCCAGTCAGCTGGCAGGCAGGAGGCCGAGTGGGGGACACGTGCCCAGCGGGGCAGCCGCCCCGGGGAGGACTGGCCGCTCCCGGCTGCTGGCCCGCTGGCCCGAGGTGCACCCCGAGACGTGACGCAACCGCCCTGATGCATGCGCTCCAGGCCGCGGTCAGCCGCCCAGCTGCTTCTGGGGCAGAGGCCACACGTGCCCGCTGGTAACTGCTCACCGCCCGGCTCCCGCCCCTGGGGGGGTCACCCGGCTGCCGGGGCGCAGCTCCCTGGGGCGGGGGTCCTTGGCTAAGCCTCGCTCGGGCTGTGAAGCGTGGGAGACAGAGCTCCCAGCGGCTCCACGAGACCAGCTGCCCCGCAGTCCCCACGGGGCCCTGGGCAGGAACCCCAACTCCTGACTCGGGCAGAGCGAAGCCCCCAACTTCTGTTTGAGGCTGAAAACTTAGAGCTCCAGACGGTGAGGGAAAGCCAGGGTGTGGCCGGTACCGGCTCCAGGTGAAGGCGAGCCGGGCTCAGCTGCTGCCTGGCTGCTGACCCTGGGGGAGCGACCTGCTGTCTCGCCTCAGCCCGTCCGAGGGCCCGGAGGCCGCCCGGTCACTTCGGATCTCTTCTACCTCCAGGAGACGGACCTGCGCCGGCCGGGCACCCGGGAGGATTCGCCCTACGTGGTGGCGCTCAGGGGAACGGGCCCTGCCAGCCAGCTCAGTCACCCCCCCGCCGGGGCTGCTTGGGCCAGTCGGGCTTCGTGACCTCGGCTCCAGGCCGCGACCCTGCAGCGCAGCCGGCCCGGGAGCGCCGGGAAGGGCGTGCAGACGGAAGGCCCTGGCCGCCCGGCCCCGTCTCCCGCGCCCCCGCCTCCGTCCCTCCCAGGGCTGCGTCTCCGGCCACAGGTCCACCGACTGCAGATTCCGGACACACAAAGGCGGGACCGGAGCTCAGCCACGGGAGGGAGAGAAGCAGGAGGGGCCGTGCTCTGGGAATCCCCCGGCCACAGGGGAGTCCAGGTTCGGCCCCGAGGGAGGACGCCCTGGAACACCGCGGCCACGGGCTGGAGCGGGGGCGGGTGCAGAGCAGACTGCAGGCCGCGGGTCTCTGGCTGGTCCTGACTGTGCGCCCCGCGCCCCCCGCCGGCTGGCGCAGCCTCCCCTGCAAGCTGACCCCATCCTGTCCCCTGGTGGCCACCGCCTCGTGCAGCGGCCACCCCTCAGCCCCTCCCACCGCTCTGCTGCCCGGGCAGCGGCCATCTGAGCGGCCACGGAGCTCGGCGCTGTGCCGGGTGTTTTGGGGACAGGCAGCCCCGCATGGCTCAGCTGGCCACAGTCCCCTTCAGGTGGGCCCCGCCGCTGGCCACGCAGACCAGGGCTGGTTTTCACCTGGACGTACGCAGAAGCCTAAACTCCCCGGGCGCGCTCACCACGTGCCCGCCTCTTGGGGGCCTTGGCGCCGTCTCCCCCTCCGGAAGCCCTACAAAAGCTTCAGGCGCGACTCAGGGCCCGTCCCCAGTGCACCCGCCTGCCACTCCCGGGAGGGGCGAGCTTCCGCCTGGCCTCTATGTGGACAAGGCCCCTCCCACGGGGAGGACTGGGCAGCCGCAGGGCCGGGCTCGCTCCTCCCACGCCCAGGTGCCGCCGAGGGAGGGGCAGCGAAAGCGTGCGGGCTGGGAGCGGGCTGGGGCTGGGGGTGAGGGCCAGAGAGCTGGCGGGCGG